TAAGAACGGTATAACTGTTTATGGTATTTAAGAAAAGTGTTGATATTGTGGAAAGATATGTGATTAAACATGTGCAAATAGACTTTAAGACATTACTTCAGATTAAAGTTAAAACCTTGAGGCACAAAAGGTGATTCCCACCGTGGGACACACTCAACGTGTTTTTGTTTGTCATGTTCAGCCATGACCTTGCTCTCTTCTTCTTGTTCTTCTACTCACTTGCAGCCGCATCTCCTCACAACAGCCAGCCTGGGCCCACCAAACCTGCACTCCAGGGTTACCAGCATTAATTCAGTACTCCCTATTCACATGTTCATCGACTATTGCAATGCCCTCCTAGCAGGTCTCCCAGCTTGTGCGGTGAAACCCTTACAAATGGTTCAGAACGCAGCAGCGCGTCTGGTTTTTGATCAGCCCAAAAGACTCATGTCACTCCATTACTCAGTGACCTCCACTTCTTCTTCTATCCCCTACAATGATCTTGTATTTTTGTTAACTCTTACTTCCTTCCCTAGGTATTTACCCCATTGATGTGATATGTACTGTGAACTCTTACTAGTATTTATTTCTGCTCTTACTACTTACTAGTAGATCTGTAGTTGATGCTCTGTTGATGCTTGTATGTTGTTCCTCAAATGTAAGTCGCTTTGGATAAAAACGTCTGCCAAATGAGTAAATGTAATGTAATGTAATGTAATGTTGGCGTGTGTATCGTCACTCGACCTTTTCCATACTCAGTGTCCGCCGGTGGAGAGGGTAGAAAAGCGTATGGGCAGCTTGTCAGAAGTGCCTGTGTGCAAAAAAAAAGTGCTGGTATACGTACCGGTGAATACCGGCCCACTTCAAGCACTGACTATGACTCTGAATAAGAATAAACACACAATGACACACACGCACATACACCTATTTTAAGTTAGACCTAAGGATGTACAGATATGTTCTTTAATTAGGAACATTATAGTAGTATTTATTAAGTATACTTTTAAGTAAGTTTATTCTATAGATAAATTTACATACACATACTGTACATGCACGAGAGTCATCAGACAAAGTCTGTTACAGCAAGAGTGATACATGGTTCTTTGATATCACTACCTGTTTTGGAAGCTTATCATATAGTGTGGCATCTATTTTTGATTCTTTTGTGTGATTGTTACAACTTACCCTAGCATGTATTACAACCCTGCTATTGGTGTAGGTTGTAATAAGGGAACACAATGCATTTGACATCAGCTCACGAGGTCTGTGATATTCTTTTAGAGGATTGAATTGGTTCCATTTGTAGTGAACATATGTGGGTATAAAAATTTGAGAACTGTAGCTAAAAAAGTGTCACAACCATACCCGGTCTCCCCTAACAGAGAGGATATCAACTCAGAACCGAGCCAGAGCTAACGGCCATATCACAGTTCCAGCTGCCGGTTGTGGGCCTTCGTAATAATGGACGGCTTCAGAACACGAAGCAGTAAGGCAAACAAACTCTACATTTTGTGGTCAAGTCCCTTTAATCCTGAAACCAACAGGCTCAATGTAACTCAGTTATCACCTTAGAACTTGCGTCGATACATTTTCCTTGCAACCTTGGTCATATTCTTTCCACAATAGCCAAACTGAATTTACATTGAACCCTATGACTCCTGTTCTATTCCCCATTGATTGCATTCTGATTGTTTAATCATTGTTGTTTTATTTCTAGATATATTTAACCTCACGTGTGTTCACTCTAGTTAGAAATAAATATTTACCTTGATCTCCTCACCCTCAGATGTGAGACTGATTGATTTAACTAACTGATCACTAGCAATAATTGTTGTAAATATTAAGCTATACCCAAGGAGTCCCAAAAGCCTTGGGCGGACAGCTAATTTTAGGTGGTGCCCTGAACAAGTGCTTATGACATTAATACTTCTAAGTGTTATTACTCATAATTATATTAACAAAGTGTAGGTTCACTATGACAGTTCTGTCTCTAAATTCTGAGTGAAAAAACTCAAACTGTTATGTTGAAAGCCACACAACTATGATGGGACACAAAGTTTACTGAAAACATTTCTTCCGTTTCTTTGTTAGGATGTACCAGCGGTGCTCTCCAATAATAGAACCTGTCTCTCTGCGTACGTTCAGACTTGGCCGTCTAGCTTATTTGAATTCAACCTCAAGAGCATCAGCTACCTTTGTCAAGGCCTTTGATGACCCCAAAAAACAGGTCTGATGAACCGAAAAACTACTGTTACGGCTGCGGCCGAGTATTAGGTTAGTGCAACTCTTGTCTTATGTAACACTATGTATTGAGCTCGCTACTTAAAGTTGATCTCTTTTATGAAGAATCACGGATCTATAACCTTCCCGAAACTGCCTTTACAGTAGTAGCTCCTTCACCTCTTGTTCACTCCCCCCGAACACTCAAACTGGCTGTTGTCACCCACGTTCTCAAAATACTAGGTTCCTACCTCAGTAGTTGACCTGATACTACAGTCGCCTCCCACCTCATTAGCCCACCCCATCTTCACTGACCTGTTCGAACCATTTCAATACAGTATCTGCCCACAGCAAAGCACAGAAACAGCCTTCCTCAAAGTCACTGCAGTAATCAAATCACTAATCAAAACTCACAGTTTAAGAACTGCTTTTAATGTGACAATAATGCAGAGTTATACATTTTAATGTGTTTTTATATAATATTTTTACCTTATGTAAAGTGCTTTATAAGATAAGATATTACTTGATTAATCCCATGTAGGGGAAATTTAGGTCAACATAGCAACACTAGGAATATAAAAGAACAGATGCAGCATTGTAGATGTATTAACACACTATTTACACTTTACAATCAATAATAATTATTTACAACCAGATAAACGTCTCAGATAAAATCAGGCACAAATCTGTCAGCTTGGTGCTTTATAAATCATATGTTTTATCATTAATGATATGTTTTTGATTCTACTTGATCTCAGTTCAGTATATGGCACAGGTGATGGTGTAATTTTTATGGATTAGTCTGATAACATTTATTGATTTAGCTTTTATCCAAAGCTATAGCAACTCAAAGGAAGTTGATTTATTGGAGAAAGCTCTCAAAGCACACAAAAAGAGCACTAACATGGTGAGTATCATTTACAGCGCCACTCAACACTTTAGTTCAGTGTAGGTCCAGTTTATTATCAGTGCAAAGAAGCCTTACTATAAACAGTTGTCCCTTTTAAATCTAGAAATTATTGTAAAAATGTATGTTAATATTGAAGTGTTTTTATGAAATTACCGTAAAACTTCAATTAATAGCAGAGTGGCTTGGTCTGGTTTTTATAGAAGTTCTTTGGATGTCTAAAACATCTTAAACGCGGCGGGGTCGCCGCTTTAGCTGCTTCCAAGCTGCTTTGAAGCTGCTTAGATGGCTACAAATATTAATGTTTAAACGTATGATCAATGTCAATATGGACATGCTGAACATCGTTAGATCGGTTGGATTCTCCACAATGCCACTGTTAAGTTCTTTTAACGGAAACAACAAGACCCAAAGTCTAATTCTTCTAGATTTGCCGGTGTAACCTGCATGGCTACAAGAGAGTAAAAGGGGGGAAAAGTGCTGACAAGTTAACTTTGAAGTGCTCCTTAAGTCTGAATGTGTCCTTGATTATTTATATTCCTTTAGTTTGTAAGGGTCCACCCATCAAAAGAATCAAAACAGCTTTTCAGAAAAATGTATCCAAGTTGTGAATCCTTCATGTGAAGTCCATCGCTCTCTGTCAGCTAACTTCTCTCATCCTGCACCATGATGTTGTTTTAGGTTGCTGCCTTCAAAATAAAAGCACATAAGCTGTCTGTCAGAGCTAGATCAAATGACTGACGTGTATTTGATATTTGATCATTTTTACATAAGTATTATTCTGTTTGAAATAAATAAACTGTTATATTATTCATAACTGTTATATCTGTCATAGTAGTTTTGTGCAAAAAGAATTAAAGGCCTGTCCCATATGGACGTCTGTCCAAAATAAAGGCAGGGTCTTGTTTCAGTGATAACATCTTAACTTAGACTTCAACTCCTTGTATTTCAACTGAGAGTTCATCCCCTATCGGTACACTCAACTTAATTTCTTTGCTAATGGTTTAACTCTTAGTGTTTAAGCTTTGTCACTCAGCAGGCAGCACCAGCAAAGGCGTAGTATTTAGTCAACACGTCCTCATACCTAAACATCAAAATAGGTTGTCATTTGTCCCAAAACGATGTTTAGGACCGTTTCCAAATGACATGTTGGCACGTACCATTCCAGCAGCAGGTCAATTGATGTTTAATACGTGGTAAATGTTGTAAAACAGTCAGTTTAGTAAAACATTGTGGTTAGGATTCATTTAAGTACATTACGTAAGTCACATGACGTAAGTCCTCTACATAATGTTATTTCATTTAAAACATGTCAAATTTAACTTTATTTCATACGTGGACTCGAACCTGAGTGAAGGTCCTTTATCTAATCCATCACCTGCTTACATTGGCTTAGTTGCTATTTTTGTTTTATTTATAGTTTATAGTCACCTGACTTCTTCCGCCACTAGAGTTGGCCTAGCAATAAAACTTAAATAAGGCTTCATAAGCTGCTACATAATTATGGTTGAATTTTGTACATAGTCTATATCCAACAATATCCAGTGACTACTGAATTGACACTAGCAATAATTTGAATCCAAAAATTGAAATATAACCACTGTTGTAAATCAGTGATGAGATTGTTTTGTTCATCAATCATACTCCTTCACCTGCTTCACCTTTCACATCTTTTCCAGAAATGCAAATCAACTCCTAGCAATCACAAAGAAACGTTTTCGAGATCAATCGTAATATTTCTTAGCCTAAAATGTCTAAATATCTTGTTTCCTACAGACAGTCTCACCTGTGATGATGACAGACTTCCCGGCCATCGCTGCGTTTCTTTAACATTTGGATCTTTTGGAGAGTCAGTGTGAGGATGATGTAAACTCCCAGAACCACACTGACCAGCAACAGGTGATATATGGTTTATTACAGCGCCTGATCCACCTGAGAATCACTGACTTCTCCCACGGGGGATACATAAAAAAAGTTTCATCTTATCTTAAAAACTGATTTACCTTGAACCCCAGGGGAGAGGCTAACACTGAACTTCCTGTCAAAACATTCAAAATAAACCCTCTGTTGACTGCATGTTTTTTATATTCATAAATGTTGGAAAATTGTTCCCCCTTTAAATATGTTGTTTTCACTTCTGACATAATCCAAACCCAATAATGTAGAAATGCATTTAATTTGTAATCCTTCCTTTGATACAAACTGAGCTTGAACATTTCATAAGGTGACAAAATAGAGAAGTGAGCATTGCTTTTACACAATATATAAATACATCTTCCACAGACAAAGAGATGTGCAGTATGTTATCCTGCAGAGTGATGTTACTTGTGTTTGGGGTCAGTTAGCAACTCATACACAGACTCAAATAACAAAAATCCAATTAGATCATAAACAATTCAAAAACAACTGGAAGAAAAAATATTATATTGAGAATAATGTTCAAGCTCTGATATTTTCACTGAGTGATTTTTATGGCTCCATCAGTTCATTACTTAGTGTCTCATGATTATAGGAAAATACAGAGTTTACTCTGCGATGGGGAAGGGGAAAAAAAAAGCTTAGATTTCAGGTTTGGTTTTAGGACAGACCGCAGAAACTCTCACTGAGCTCCCACAGCTTCTTGGCCACAGCGTCGTCTCTCGCCTTCGACTCGATGTTCAACAGCGGCGCACACTGGGTGAAGTAGTGGCCGCTGAGGTGCTCGATGCCTTCCTCCAGGGCACAGTGGAGCGTGGTCTGAGCTCCGGAGTCAGCATCCACGAAGAAAAGGAAGATGATGGGTGTCATGATAAGTTTCCACCAGAAACCAGAGTAACGACCGATCTCTGTCTTTATGGCCCCTGGATGAAAAAAAAAAAAAAAAACAGAATATAGATTAAATGTAACAAATCACAAAAAAATATACATTTTTTTGTGATTTTTACATTGTATTTATTTATTTTCAGCATTTATAGCTTTAGCTAATTTGAAATGCCTGTTTTATACAAATACACATTACGTTAAAATAATGAGATACTAAGTTCAAAATTGAACATAGTAATTAATACTTTTAATTTATATGGAAAGCTATTTGTCAGAAAAAAAAATTATTGCTAAAATTTTAAATTAAATACAAGTTTGTTAATTTTGGGCATAAGTGAAAACAGAAAAGTCATATTTTCTCTAGAGTCAGCTCCCAAATATAAAATGCTACAGGTAGCCAAAACACAAGCACATCACAGACTGACAGCCAAAGGTGTGCCACATGAGCAGAGCTCTCAAAGTACTTTTGTAAAAAATTACAAATATATAAAGTCAGAGTTAAGAGGAACTAAGTAACAATGTCTAGCTACAAAGTCAAAATATGAATTTCTAAGTCAACCATTTTTATTTAATAAAAAATTAAAATAACAGGACAGCTGATTAGATAACAAGTCAGATTTGTAGGCAAATAAGAAAAAGGTATTGCATAATATGTAAACGTTATAACATACTTCATTAATATTATCAGATAGTAATTTTTTACTATCTGATAATATTAAAGAGCAAGTCAAATGTATGAGACAAGTTGACTTTAGTAGAATTTAGTATCTCATAATTAAACCTTCACATAAAATGCTGGACGCAAACATTAGATTTGTAAAGGCCTCAGCAATGATTTTAAACGAGCCAGGCTGATGTCTACTGACCAGGATGGAGGCTGTAGCAGGTGACCTCAGTGCCCTGCAGCCGCTTGGCGAGCTCGTAGGTGAAGAGGACGTTGCACAGTTTGCTGTGGCAATACCTCTGGAAGAGCTGATAGTCGCCGTTGCCGATACCTAACTCTTTCTGAGTCGTCAAAAGGTTAAAATCCACCTTCCCCATCTCGTATGCTTTGGAGGCCACGGTCACCACACGGCTCGGCCCGTTCGCCTTCAGCCGGTCCAGGAGCAACACTGTCAACAGGAAGTGACCCAGGTGATTGACGCCAAAGATCATCCCGAAGCCATCCTCCGTCTTTCCACTGGTTATCAGACCTGAAGACAGAAAATCATAATAAACTTACACTTAGGGCTTAGAAATGATCAGTTATTTTGTCATTACTTCCATAAATTTTGAGAGTGCATGAACACCAGTTAAGAGAGCGAGTGACGTCTAAACAGGTAGCTAAAAGAAAGAGAAAAATGGTTGAAATATCCAGCTTCTGCTACTCAAAGTAGAACGCAAACTTGACCAAACCAACCTCAATATTGACAGTTGAACTGTGTGTCATAGTTCTGGGATGGTTGGTGTTTGTGTTTCACATTTCCTGTTTTACTTTAGAGTTTATGTGCCCCTATTGTCTTGTTTTATTCCTAGACAGTATAATTATTTGACGAAGCCACTCCACGGTTTTGAATGGAGAGCAGTAAAGCCAATTTTGGTCCTATGTAATACTACTACATGGCTACTTCCTGTTGGCACCAGGGTTTAATGAGTAACAGCAGAAACACCGTAATTCTGGTAGCTGCATGGTTGCACCATTTTGCGCGAACAAAAATTATTTTGGCTCAGTGTGTTTGTCTCACTCGGATTGTGACTTTTTAATTGCACCACCTACAAGACTCAATTGCAGACATAGTCACTGATATTTTAGGGTTGCTGAGAACTTCTAAACAATATGGTTACATCTCTCATGTGTGACAGGATGTCGCAGGCTCATGATTTTTTTCTCTCCATGCAGGCTTTGGTCGGATTCACTGTTCAAACTCTCACTTACCCCCTTGGTTTTACTTCCTGTGTATGTGCACGCTGACTCCACCTGTGTATTTAAGTTGTTGTCTGTCTGTCACTCATTGCTGCTTCATTGTTCATCACAGTTCGGTTCATGACTGTTTCATACCAGTGTCTTATCCGATATCTCCTGTCTCTGGATTATTTCCTTGGTTTCCCCCATGTTGTTTGGACTTACTTTGTCAGTTTGTGGATTTAGAGATTTCTCATTGTATGGATTTTGTTTAGTTTGACTACCAAGTCACCTGTAAATTTTCACTAGTTTGTTCTAATAAACTTTACAATTTTACCGCCTGCACTCCTGTGTCTGAATTTGGGCCCAAAACCCTTGTGTCCCATTTCAGCGTTTTGGCTGACCGTAACAAAAACACTGTAACAAAAATCTATTTTTACATAATCAGTAGAGTAAAATGACCTCCAGTTTTAAATGGAATCGATTCAAATCAACACATTTTAAACAATGACAGGTGGTGTCAATGAAAGCGTAAATTAGTTAATTTCACTGGGCTGTGGGGGATAGAAAAGGTTGGAAACCACTGATCTACCGCACATTAACTAAAAGGACAGAGGCTGACCAGCGTTGTTGATGAGCAGATCCAGCCTGGACTCAGACTGGAGGAAGTTGTCAGCAAAGGAGCGAACAGACTTCAGACTGGCCAGGTCGAGCTGCAAGAAGATCACCTGGCTGTTCCCCGTCTCCTGATCACAAGGAAAACAAGGAGAGAGTTAGAAAACTTTGAACACTTACAGGAAAGTTTCCAGCAGTCCCTGCTCTATTCAATCACTAGATGGTTTTACAGATTTGATCATGTCAGGAGATATTTATAAAGCTGATATAGATACATGGGCAGATTAAATTGGCACAAATAACTGCTCATCATCAGCATAACAATAAAAATTACCCCAATATTTGTGAATGTAATCAGCTTTGGGTAACATATGTATATGCATGCAGAAGAGAAGAGGACCTAGGATGCAGCCCTGAGGTCCACCAGATGTATCTGTGGAAAAGTCACACTAACAATTTATGGGGAAAAAGGTTTTTTTACTGAGTGATGATCATAACTGAACATAAGTCTAAACAAATGGAGTATATTCCTTGTAAATTTGAGCTGTGACCTCTGCAGTCAGAAACTGTTTTTTTGTCTTTACTTGGACGATTTCCTGGATTGCGGCCTCAGCTCGCTTTCTGTCTCTGCAGGCCATGATCACCCTCGCGCCCCTCCTGGCCAGGTCCATCGCTGTGGTCTTACCGATGCCGGTGTTTGCTCCTGGAGAGGAATGATAGGAGCATGGAGAGTGTTTTTTTTTTATTAGCTATTTTTTTTAATAACGTTGCTCTACAGATGACAAAGGTAAGTCTGTCAGTCAGTCTACCTGTTTGGTCCAAACTGAAATATCTCAAAGACTATTGTGATATTATGACATTTGTTTAATTATATTGCTACTATATTTTGTTGCCCTTGCTTTCATTAAAGTAATTTTATTGTTTTATGTGCAGACAGGGCTTGACATTACTTTTTTGCTCCCCAGTCACTGTGGCTTGTGGTTTTCCAAAGTTACTATCCACTTTATATATTTTATATATACACTGGATTAGGCTGTTCAGTATGAAGATTTGACTTTTTGTTCCTTTCTGTTTCTTAGTTAGTCTCATGTTTTAGATTCAAGTTTGAATGCCTTTCATCATCATCTGTGATGTGAAAACATCAGACGTAGTAGACGAAGTGTGCATCCTGCTCATAGTGCATCCATCCATCCATCCATCGTCAACCGCTTATCCTGCGTACAGGGTCGCGGGGGGCTGGAGCCAATCCCAGCTTACATCAGGCGAAAGGCGGGGTACAACCTGGACAGGTCTCCAGTCCATCGCAGGGTGCTGCTCATAGGTCCTACTCACCTAAGTCACCTAATTTAACTTAAAAATTCAATCTTAACTTTCTTACACATGGGACTTGATCTCCTGAGTGAAAGTCCTGCGTTTGCTTGACCCATCCCCCCCTTACAGACACATGCTCATGGGAGCTGTAGTTGTTGGAACATTTCCATTTGAAATTATGTTATCTAAACTCCCACATTAAATGTTCTTGAATCCAGCTGGTGACACGCAAAACACATCCATTTAGTGTCAAACTTCATTTAGACTTAAAGCTGACTGAACATTGTGTTTAGACATAAGAGGAGACGTTTCTGTACAGGTTCCTGATCCTTTGTCCCACCATGAAAACAAACTGGTCTCCATTGGAATCTGTTATAACTAACACATTTTTTCTGTGAGGCGTTTTACAGCCATCTTTCAATGTTACAGAGGAAAATTTTTATTGTTATTATATACAGAGATTCATTCTGGGTCTAATATCACTTTATACATAGTGGATACCACTATCTAATAAGGCAGAGGTTGTCCCAGGGCCCCCATCTGATTGCATTTTTGCTATTATATGTTTTATTACAGAAAACCCATGTGAAACCCATGACCAAAATAGTCGTACATTCTGTCATTGTGTTACTTATGGATGGAATAATAGGGAAAATAAACTATTCCCCTTTTTGCTGCGGACTCCCTGGAACCTCCTCACGGACCTCTGGGGGTCTCCAGACCCCACTTTAAAAAGGTACACACAAGGGATGATCTTATTCATGGTTTATAAATAATTTACTAAAGCTAAGCACAAAGGTTTTTGGTTGCCAGGTTGTGAAAAAGTCCTTAGACTGATGGGCCATTGGATCACATCCCTGAGCAGGTCCCAAATCCACTTTTTAACAACTTTCTAAGCATTTATTCATGGATTACTACATTCATAACAGCATTTGTACCAAACTGAAAGGATAAACACTAGCCAAAGGCATCTTTTAAATCCATCAATCCAAAATTTGTCAGAAATTTTTTTATTAAACATTAATAAACACATTAGCTACAACTTTAAAAGGATGGCACACACCCTTTAAGTGTTATTACCCCATAAAGGCAGCTTGGCCTGCAGCCTGTGAACTCACCAGTGACAATGGCAGTTTTCCCATGTAACTTTGCAGTAGATTTACATCTGGGCAACTTGAGAAAAGTCATGTGAAGAAGAAAATAACCTCCGACTAACACAACTCCGAACAGCAGCAGCTCCAGCATCATCCTGACTAATACACCAAATTACAGACACTCGGTGAACAAAAAGTGCAGCTGTTTACATGTGAGCAGCTGCAGTGTGTGTGTGGACTCCTTTTCCTGCCTTTATGCAACAGCTTATCTGCTGTAGCAGAAGCTCCACGCCCTTTTCTCCCCTGACAGCCAATCGCTCTCTCCTCTGACTGTTAATCCAATTCAAAGTAAACAGTTTCTCCCTTCAGCTTCTTGCACCAAAGCTGTGCTGGAGAGATCAGATTACAACAGACAGGCTGGTATTTCACTATTAGGAAAACCGGCAAGTTTTGTCAATTGGATGGGGGGGGAGTACTAGTAAAACTTTGCAGAGGGATTTCTGGCAGCCGCTACATGTTGACTCAATGTAACTTAATGTAACATGTAGTGTTACATTAAGTTTCCCTCCTATACAATGTAGTTACATAAAGACATGCAAATGTCTCAAAGGTTGAGAGGTTGAAGGTCAACTGCAGCACCACCTTGTGGCCTTACACAGTAAGCCTATTACAGTGGTATTACAGTGCTGTAAAGTATTTTTAAGGTCAGGTAGGCCTTTAAATTGTGTGTATGCCCTTCTTTGCAGTCTCTTATGTTTTATATATCGCTCTCTCAAAGCCACAAGACTTCCTTGACAAAAACAGTAATTTGGGGCTTCTATAAATGTTCTCCCAGTTAGTAACATATAGGAGTGGGAATCACCAGAGGCCCCACGATACGATATTATCACGATATTTATGTTGCGATTCGATTTTATTGCGATTTTAAATATATTGAGATATATTGCAATTTATTACCTTTTACCAACTACCAATTAGGTCCCTAAAGTCAAACTTTGTCAACATCTGTTTATCTAAAAAGATACATTTCTCTGTTTGTTCATATCACTTTTTAGTGACATGTTTATGTTTTCTAGTGGACTTAAAAAGCAATAGATTTTATTTTTCTAGTACCAAAAAGTTAAAACTCCCATCTGCAATTTATATAATAAAATATCGATACTTGGCGACTGTGTACCGATACAGTATTGCCATGGCAAATATCATGATACTATGCTGTATCTATTTTCTCCCCCCCCCCCAGTCACATATAGACAGAAAAATTGAGGAAAGAATGAAAGTTACCCATCAAGTTTGCATTCAAGTTTGCACTCCTATACACATAAAACTAAACTTTGTGTAGTCTGTACAGAGAAAAAAGGCCTAATGACAAGGATCATTGAAGCTGTTCTAGAGCAGTGGTTCTCAAAGTGGGGTCCGGGGACCCACAAGGGGTCACCAGCAACAAGGGGAATAATTTATTTTCACTATACATTCCATCCATAAGTAACACAATAAAAAAACGTATTACTATTTTGGTCATGGGTTGCATAAACGTTCTGTAACAAAACATATAAAAGAAAAAATAAAAGAAACTGGGACAAAACTGTATCAAATGGGGGTCCATGGTCTAATTTGTGTCAGTTTAGGGGTCCTTGACAAGAAAACGTTTGAGAACCACTATTCTAGAGGCTCTAACACACTCAATATTCTTATCCGTCTGTATGTCAGTCTTTTGCTGTCCAGAGAATGATTAAATGTTAATGTTTCAGACATCAACCACTGGGTGGTGGCAGCAGAACATGTCCTAAATAACATGATCAGAGCGATACTTCAATTTAAAAAGGAACAACACAACATAATTAGACATGTACAAATTATTATTATAATTATTAGTAATAGTATGGACCATAGACATACAGGTCTAAAAAAGTATAGACAAGACAAACTTATCACCCCAGAGTAAACCGCTTTCAGCAGAGGGACAGTTCATAGCTCACTGACTTAACAATCCATTTAAGATCTTAAAAGTCCTTTGTGGTTATTCCACCTTTAGAGAGTCCACAGAGCTTTTCGCTGACCTCCCACAGTTTCCGGGCCGCAGCGTCGTCTCGGCCCCGCGCAGATACTTCCTGTACGGCACAGCAGGAGAAGTAACGTCCGCTCAGATGTTCGATTCCCTCCTGCAGACAGCAGTGCAGAGTGGTCTGAGCTCCGGCCTCCGGGTCCAGGAACAGCAGATGGGCAATGGGCTCAATGAAAACCTTCTGCCACAGGCTGACATTACGTGAAAGCTCGGTCCGAACAACACCTGAAAGGGTGAAGACGTGCACATGGTTTAAAGCAGTGGACACAACATTGATCTGAGGAAAAATACTGAAAGTTGCAGAATGCACCTGTTTAGGCTTATTATCACAGCATCACAGTTTAAAAGATCACTTCACACCAAATCTTGTGTGGCAAAAGGCATGCATGCAACTTCACAGGTGTGGTCTGTTGAACTTGTTACCAAGCCCATAGCCACGATATTTGAAAGTACCCTGTAAGGTACAGAAATGGTCCTCAAAGTGTGTTATTTTCAAATGCACATCCACCAATGTGTCCCTGAACAAGACACTTAACCCCTAGTTGCTCCAGAGGTTTGCAAACTCAGACATAGAAGGTAAATGAATAATTGTAAAGGTACATTTTTGTCACTAGGGGTGCAGAAATGTTCTTTTAGAGGTAACGAAGTTACGTTAAGTTCAAAGGTACAGTCCTTGCACCCTGCTAGAGTACAGCTCGATCGACAAAGCATTTGTACCCTTTTAGGTCCATTCCTGTGCATTGATTTCTCTGTGTGTGTATATCCTGTTATGTGGGACTGTAAATACCAGTTTCTGACTTGGTTGCCGCTGAAAAACTTACATACGGATATCCATAAATCTCTGACATGTTTATTGAAAAGAATGCAGTAAAACCTAACTATGAGTTATGGTGCTGCACTATATAGTGTTTTTTCACACACACATGTCTGGCAAATGCACCTGTCTTTATGCACATTTTTCAATTTGTGTTATAAAATAACTCGTAAAATTCATAATATCACTAAAAGTTTTCTCAACTTGGCTAAAAGTTTGTCTGGATAAAAACTAAATGAAAACATTTTTAAATAAATGATGCCATACATGAAGCATGTGACTTAAACCACAGATGGAATCTGCGCTACATTTGGATGGAAACCTGACTAGTGATGACATTTTCACAATGGTACGTGTAACTACCTACGTCAGGATTCAAAGTTAATGCATCTATGTGCTAGAAGATGTCCTAGAAAAATATTTTCGGCAGTGTGGAGACTGTTAAGGCTTGGACGTTACCTTCAGTACCTCAATAAGGATGTCGCACTACCTGAACTGAAAACGTAATTCAGGCACCCATTAGGTTTTTCGCCAACATATTTGGCAAAGCACACTAGTAGGACATCAACATATTTAGTTTATGTTTGTTGGGAGTGTGTTACCTGGGTGGACGCTGTAGCAGGTGACGTTGGTTCCTTTCAGCCTCTTGGCGAGCTCGTGGGTGAAGAGCATGTTACACAGTTTACTGTTGCAGTAGGCGTGGAAGAACTGCCAGCTGTACCTGCCGGTGCCCAGGTGTCCGTTTGCCTCCAGAGCCTGAACACACAAACGGCTTCATAAACTAAGTATCACTTGAGTGACGAGGATCATTACTGAGTACAGGTGAAAAGGTTTGTGATGAAGTCATTTGTCTAGGTGTTGAAAGAGACAGTGTAGCCTGAATGATCACCTGAGTGACACGAATCATGACTGAGTAGGTGAAAAGGTATGTAATGATGTAATTTGTCTTGGTGTTATAAGAGACAGTGACGCTTGGAGCCTCAGATGAGGAATGTTCTCTGCAGAAAACTCGGTATGAAACAATCCCTTTGTGTGACAGAGTTAATATGAGATACACAAACACCTTAATGAAAGAATCCTCAAACAGAGGAACCTGTTCTGATGGTGAAGTGTTCCTAATATGTTATCATATGTTGTCAGAGATGGGACTGAAAGACAGTTGCAGTGAAACCTCAGTATATCTGAGTCTGAATGAAGAAGATGCTCCAAACAATGTGAGTGAAGGAGGGTTGATAGAGTATAAAGAGTTCAAATATCAGCAGTAAAAGTAGGTTATATACAGTTTCCTAGTTTTAACTACTTTATGTACAGTTAGCTAGTTTAGTCTAGTGGTTCCCAACCTAGGGGTCGGGCCCCTCCAAAGGGTCACTAGATAAATCTGAGGGGTCTTGGAAAAAAAAAAATTCTGATTCTGTTTTTTTTGTTTGTTTTTGGACTTCTCTCTTCTTTGAATTTTAATAAAACATTTAATAATTTGAAATTAAACCACGTATAGAGGAGAAAGGTCTCTTTGTATGTTCTAAGGTTATCGTGTTTCTAATGTACAGAAAAAATAACTAATCATCAGATCAATGCAGTGGAGTAAAACACATACAACTGAAGTATAGTAGAATTAAAGTATAATTAACTCAAAATTGTACTTGACAAGTGACTTGAGTATGTACATTGTTACTTTCCTGTGGAAAACGAAGAAAGGATGAAAGCAAACAAGAAAGCACTGAAATAAGTTGAAGTGTAAGTTACAGCATGGAAACAGTAGTATAAGCAGTGAAAGCAGTACTTAGTAAATTAAGCCCTGAAAATGCACTTAAGTTTGTTGACCGTTAAATTCCTCCTCTTCATACTGTCGTAAGGATGTGAAATTCTGGTTTTCTGTAGCTAATACTGTAAACTTCACTATAATTACCCAATTCTCTAATTTGAATCATCATGTTGTATTGTTTTTATCTAAGTGGAATATTTGAAAGGTGCTGACTGTGAGTTGAACTATAAACACTGAAAAATGCCAGTGTGTGCGGCAACAACTGTGTATTTGTATGTCATGTGTGTGTTGACTAAGCAATTAAAAAGCTCACGTTGAAGTCGATGTGTCCCCAGCGGTAAGCCATGGAGGACAAAGAGACCACTCGAGCTTCCTCCGCCTCCTTCAGACGATCCAGCAGCAGGCAGGTCAACAGGAAGTGACCCAGGTGGTTCACCCCAAACCCAATGCCGAAGCCGTCTTCCGTCCGCCCGTCAGCTACCAGACCTACAGAGCAGACAGAGACTTACATTTACATTGTTTTAGGAATGTCAGCAGTTCTTTCTACTATTAAGATCGATTTGAGTTTACCTTTATCTTAACCTGAACCCAACTTATCCCAAACACCAACCAGTCGTCCCTGTGGTGCCTAAACATGACCAAACTTGAACCCTAGCCGCACCATGAAGGGCAATCCTATGGGAAATGCTATTCAGTGGGGAAACACGCTTTAACGCAAGATGGGAACTGAGCTACTTCATGTAATTACATGTAAAAAAAAAAAATATATATATATATATATATATATAATATAAAAACTAGCTATTACACTGTAGAATCCCTCTTTGTTATCTGCAAAACTTCTGTCTCCCCCGTCTGACGTTCTAACAAACATTCATTTATATGTAAAAGTCCTGCACTTCAGCTTTAAAAAAGAGTAATATCTAATAATATCTGTTATAATAATAATCTGTTCTTTATTCAGTCATTGGATCTTTCTCACACTAACTTGTTTTTATGTACAATATTAAATAAAAACATCAAATAATTTAAAATGTAATGAGAAAACAAACTAAATAATGCAAACTTAAGTAAATTATTTTAAATTAATGGTAAATAACTTGTTTTGTCTAACATAATTTAATTTAAAAAAAATAGTTGAGACATTTTAAATATGCAGTATAATGATGACATTAGTAGTTTGGGTTAAAAAAAAAAAAGTACAACAAAAATGACTAAAAGTAAAAAAATTTCCTCTAATGCCTAGATTAGGTCAGTTTCATTGACAACATTCCGCCTCAATAGTCAGAAGACTTTGTCCCAGTGAACACTTTGTTTAGGTTGAAGCCAGTGATGTAATTTTGTCTGCATTCCATATCAGGTGTGCCACCTCTCTGATATTGTAACTTCTGGCTCACTGTCAGACCTGAATGAAACAGTTACAATACACCCGTGCTTCTACTGCTGCCACAGGTCAAAATGTCTGCTGTCAAAATCTAACTTCTGTTCCTCAATGTGTTTTCTGAGGTTTATTTCATCAAAACATTGTCACAAGAATGTCACATTTTCTGTCCGTATGCTAAGATAAAGGAGCATCTACTGCTGTCTCTAGATGAAAGATAAAAACTAGTATTAAGAGAGAGCCTACACCTGATTATCTGGTTTTCTTTTAAGACCTACTACTAAACTGACAACTTTGATTGTTTCTTTGTTTCATCAGTTGGACAAAGAACTCAAGTGGCCTCAAAAACACAAAACTTAGGTATACTATGTGTCAGAGTCTCCTTCATTATTTCATGAACTATAGGCCTTTTTCAGAGGAGAAATTTAGCCATGTCATGGCAGGAAAAGCACAGGTGTAATCCATAACATTACAGTTTTTTTTTAATTGCTTAAACACTATAAACAGGTTTTCAAACAATACTTTCAAAACCACAACTCCATTTTTCAAAAAGCACACTAATTTCCCTAAACTCTTCTCACAAATCCCTTTATTTCTCATTGCCTACACCGTGTGGTCATTTAGAAAGCATTAACATTCAATATTGTTCACTCAAGTCAGCAAAACTTGAGCTCAATCAGCACATAGCTACCCAGGTGGAAACACAAAGAGTCACCATTGATAACACTCCAATCAGAACCTCCAATAGATAGATAAAAGGGACAGAGTCAGTTTATTCAGTTGTGGAACAATGGATCCAGAGACATGTGAAGGAAGAGGTTGAGGACACCGGAGAGGAGGAGCAATAAGGAAATGGGAAGAGAAGTAGGGAAAGGAGAAAATGTATGTTATATGTCATGTCTGAGGGCAAAGTTTGGTTTTTCAGCGAGTGGTGGAGATTGAATGGTTTTAAGTGGAGAGCTTCATTCTGACCTGAAAATGGGGTGTTTGGGGATTTGAGTGAGAAGTTGTGGATTTGTGTGTAGAGTTTCGAGAAAAAGAGGCATAATTTCAAGAAATGTGTTTAAGCAATCAAGATAAACTGCAAAAACAACTGCATTACATTTAGGGTGATCTAGTTTTGGGGGGTCCTGGTATTGTGCATGCTGGCTCACTGTCATGCCTTCCTGGGACACTTAATGCTACTGATTAGTTTCACCTGTGCTTCTCCTGCTATGACCAGTCAAAATGTCTGCCATGAAAACGGCCCCTTATACATTATGTAATCTGCTTAATTAAATTACCACACAGCTAAATTTCACTAATTTGTAATGCTAGTGTGACCGCTATGCAGCTGCATCTTGTGCACAAGGACGGCGATGCAGGTGGCGGCAAATGTGTGACCAAAACTTTTGTATGTTGTTGTATGAGAATGTCTTCAATGCATGCCGTTAAAACTAGTCACTTGCCAAGGCTCTGCTTGATGTGTCGACTCAAGGTAAACCTGAAACAACTCGCATTCATTCACATACTTTCACAAAAGTAATAAATAATTTGTCTTCGTGTAACAGCATGTGTTTGTGTACCAGCGTTGTTGATGAGCAGATCCAGCCTGGACTCAGTTTTCAGGAACGTTTTGGCAAAGCAGCGGACGGACTTCAGACTGGCCAGGTCCAACTGCATGTAGAGCACATCAGTACTTCCTGTATCCTGGAACAAGATCATCATGTCATTCTCCTTCTTTTCATTCTTTTTGTCGATTCTTATCTCTCAAAATACTTGTAACAGTTTCAGTTCACCTCATGTCCAACTAACGCTTCAACTCCTTTCCTCTAATGGTGTTAATAGAGGTCATTTTTTAGTGTTTATACCACTATTACCAAATACTTCAGCTTCTGTCACAGTTGACACTTAAACGGACACAGCTTGTGTCAGTGATTACATCTGAATTTAGACTTCAACTCCTTTTAGCATTCACTAGAGTCCATCCTCCATCAGTACACTCAACTTAATTTCTGTGCTATTGGTTGAACTCTTTGTTTAAGCTTTGTAACTCAGCAGGCAGCAGCGGCAAAGGCGTAGTATTTAGTCAACACGTGCTCATACCTAAACAACAAAAGAGATTGATTGATGACATGTAGGACCATTCCCAAATGACATGTGCAAACGTTGGAACGTACTAGTCCATTAAAAGGTGTACCAGACCTTAAGTACACTATTATGACCTAAGTCGATTGACGTTTAACACGTGGTCATAGTCATAGTTTGGTACCATCGTGGTTTGGGTTAAAGTAAGTACATTACGTAAGTCCTCTACATAATAATGTTATTTCACTTAGAACATGTCAAATTTCACTTTACAAACCTGTTTTTAATGTGAAAGAAAGAAAGAAACAGCTGAGTATGCAGCCTCTCCTTAACAAGAAATGACATGTCTCAGGACAGTGAGTGATTTTTTTCAAAGCCTGAATGGAGCATCAAATGTGATCTCTGTGTTTCCTTGAATTGTTCTTGTCTCTACCTGTTGTATATCTCTGATAGCAGCCTCGGCCTTGTCCCGGTTACGACAGGCCAGGATCACTCTGGCTCCCTTCCTGGCCAGGTGCAGAGCCGTGGCTTTACCGATGCCGGTGTTGCCTCCTGCACCAAGAAAACAAACAAAACTGTCAGCAACAATATAACATCATGTGTAATGTTTTTCTCAGCCTGTTAAATGTCTAGATATCTTGTATCCAGACAGTCTCACCTGTGATGATGACGGTCTTCCCGGCCATCGCTGCGTTTCCTTTGCATTTGGATCTTTTGAAGAGAGTCTGTGTGAGGATGATGTAAGCTCCCAGAACCACACCGACCAACAACAGGAGATACATGGTTTGTTACAGCGTCTGATCCACCTGCGAATCACTGACTGACTCAAGAACTGAGCTCTGTCATTTATTCACCTCGTGGGACTCACCTGTCGGACCAGTTCTACCTGCTTGAGCCTGGCAGGTGAGTCACAGCTCAGGAAGATCCAACTGGTTCTGCTGGCATTCCTTATCAGTCAGCACTGATGTTGAACTGAAACTCCTGCTGCTGTTCAAACGTTAATGAGAAGGGAACTCCATTCAGGAGTCTGCCCCTCTCCAGTTTTAACTTGGACTTGACTTAGCATCTTAGTACTGTCGTTGTGGGCATTTATATTTATTACTGAACCCCATCTACACTCACAACTCCGGATCAGTTTAGAATACTTCTGTTGCATTCCCTTTGTACATATGCACATCTGCACTATCTTGTAAATTAACTATTATTTGGTCATTTGCGGAATTTCCTTCATCTTTTTTTTGTTTATTTGTATTGCTGTTTGGATTTCCAGGAATTCCTAGAATTGTAGTTGCTATGGCCTAATATTGTTTTGACTTTTGTCAACGATATTGTTGACTTTTGTCAACAATATTAGGAATGTTAACATGCTGGATTCTCTCCAAATAGCACAATGCTCCCTAATCAGCACTATGTGAACCTGTTTGATTCTCCGAGTGAATCTGATGAAGCAACATGTGAAACGCATAGTTTACTTCTTTTTGTCTTTACTGTAATCTATTCATTAAACCGTATCAATCCTAATATTCTGGTGTGTGCGGGAGTATTTATTTTTAGGTTTACTGTGGTTTGCTCTGCACCAACTGGCAGCAGGAGAGAAGCACTGTTTTGCACTGGTACATACTTGTCAAGTTTTGGATTTGAAAATAAGGGAAATTTTCCAGCACTCACCACCCCAACCAAGCTCCACTATCCCTTACATTTTATTTTTTATTTTATTTTTAGGTGTTATAGCCTAAATGAAAACACAAAAGGGTATACATGAAGAGCATTTCTTTAAATGCTTATTTGAATATTTTCTGTTCATTTAACATTGCTTGTCTTTACATTTACATTTTATTTTCATTCCACACATTCTTTTAATTTCACATAACTTTCCTTTACTCTTTTAGTGAGTTATTGTACAAATTTGTTGCAGACTTTGCATTCTTACATACATATACGGATAATACATGCATATCTGAAGTTTTTTAACAATAGACACCATGGTTGAAAAATTCCGAAGTGCAGTCTTAAAGGACCAATACATAATATATTTACTGTACTAAATCACAAAATAACCATATGTCAGATTTAGGAAACATACAAGTTGAAACACTGACTTCTATGAAAACAATACTGGAGCCAGTATTTCCTAAGTACTGTTAGTTCCAGGTTTGTTCTTTCACGCGTTTTCTATTGCACGTCATGATCATACCTTATGCATACTGAAGGCAGGGTACAGTTTTAAGTATGGTATGCAAGTTGTTGAAAGATTGTTGAGGACCTGCTTGAGATGACTAATTGTTGTTATGGATTGTATTTTACAAGAATTACATTACTGTAAATTTGTCAGCTACTGAAGGTGTATGAAGCAGTGGCTTTAATAAATGTTACATGGCCGTCATATTTCAAGAAAATAATTTAACTGATTATAGGATACATGGACTAGGCTAGTATATTATATTAGAACATGTTCAGAAATTGTGTTTTAATGAATTGTATTTTACAAAAATGTACTTATTTTAAAATTTGTCATTTCATTTTTTTTGCATTGACTTTAATAAATGCCACATGTTGTAAGGCCATCTTTTGTCTGATCCATTTATATGCTAGAAATTTTGAGTTATTTTTATTTTGAATTGTAAAAAGTTTAAATCATTAGCTTACAGCAGTGTTATACTGTAAAACCAAACAAACAGTATTATACAGTATTGCTTATATTCAATACATTACACATTCAGCACATTACTGTAATATTTTTTACAGTAATAAACAGTTATTGATTACAGTAGTTACACTGTAAAATAACTGTTTCATGCTGGCAACTGTAGCTGCCAGTATTTTACTGTAATTTAAATAAAACAAAATTTGTTACAGTGCAGGTTTGCACTGGTATCTTTAGCTTTTTGTTTATTTATCTCCTTAGTGCTATTCTGTAACTTGCTGCTGTAACATGCACATTTCTCCCCCAGGGGATAAATAAATAAAATAAAGTTTAATCTTATCTTAACTACTGATTTACTTTGAACCCCCGGGGAGGCTAAAACTGAACTTCCTTTCAAAACTCCCAAAATAAACCCTGTGTTTATAACCCTGTGTTTTTTTTATGTTTATAAATGTAGGAAAAAGACATACGTACAGATTAGTAAGTAAACCAGTATTATAAAGGGCTTTTATGCAAAACAAATCCTAAAAACAAAGAAAGAGGAATAAAAATAACAAGACATAAGATAATTAAAATTTTATTCCGTAAAGAGATGAATTAAAAAATAAAAAGATTTTTCACTTAGATTTTACTTAATCTTATGTGTTTTGTTGACATTGGATTTACATCCTTGTTGTTTTGGGGTCCCATTGTTGTATGTTTCAAAGTCAGCCAATTCGCTCCCCCTTTAAATATGTTTCTTTCCTTCTGACCTTGTTAAAACCCAATACGTAGAAACATACTGTAGTAGTAACCGTTCCCTTTGTTACAAACGCAAAGCGTGCAAATTCAAAGAAAATGTCAAAACTCAAAAATGAGTATAAATCATTGTTTTTACCCAAAATAAGTAAATATTTTATGGTTTGGATGTTAAATCCACAGAAATGTGCAGTATGTTATCCTGCAGAGTGTCAAACTTCCTGTTAGACCTCATTCATGAATAAAGCTAATAAATTAAATAATAAACAAGTTAAAATAATTTTTAAAGTAATGAAGTATGAAGGTAATAAAACCGTGTTTAGTAAAGTAAACTGAGGATTAGGATTAGGTTTTACTGAATTTAAAAACAGTGTCATACATTGAGAATCATGTTCAAGCTGTGTGTGTTTCCACCTTTTATGGCGGCATCATTGCTTTGAGATTTGGTCTCTTTTGAAACTAGAAATAAAGAAAAACGTTTACATGTATTCCACATTTCATAACATAGCAAAAGAAGCTCTTTTCATTTGTCTTACAAAAATGATTTTCAGTCACCTTTAGGTAGATCAAGGAGAGAAGTAATTATTACTTAGTGTTTCGTGATTGTAGGAAAATACAGAGTTTACTCTGCGATGAAAAAAAAAAAAAAGCTTAGATTCAGGTTTGGTTTTAGGACAGACTGCAAAAACTCTCACTGAGCTCCCACAGCTTCTTGGCCACAGCGTCGTCTCTCGCCTTCGACTTCATGTTCAACAGTGGCGCACACTGGGTGAAGTAGTGGCCGCTGAGGTGCTCGATGCCTTCCTCCAGGGCACAGTGGAGCGTGGTCTGAGCTCCGGAGTCAGCATCCACAAAGAAAAGGAAGATGATGGGTGTCATGATAAGTTTCCACCAGAAACCAGAGTAACGACCGATCTCTGTCTTTATGGCCCCTGGATGAAATAAATAAATAAATAAATTTGTCAGAAGAAAAGATTAAATGTAACAAAGGCCAAAAATAAAAATACTGATCTTGTTTATTTCATCATTAATTTGTTTACTTTTGTAATATATGGACCTATGCTACATACCGCAGCACTAGCTTTATACAAATATGCATGTTACTAGGTCAAATTAATAAAATCCTAAGTTAAATTTTAAGTAATGATACATTTACATATATGGAAGCCCATTTATGTCAGAAAAAAATATTAATGAAATGTTCAATTCAATCCAATACAACTTTATTAATAATCCACAAAGGGAATTTGATTATGGGTTTAAGTGAAAACAGAAAAGTCCCATTTTCTATAGAGTCAGCTGTCAAATATAACCTGCTACAGGTAGCCAAAACACATTAACGAGCAAAACACAGACAGGCTGATGTCTATACTGACCAGGATGGAGGCTGTAGCAGGTGACCTTAGTGCCCTGCAGCCGCTTGGCGAGCTCGTAGGTGAAGAGGACGTTGCACAGTTTGCTGTGGCAATACCTCTGGAAGAGCTGATAGTCGCCGTTGCCGATACCTAACTCTTTCTGAGTCGTCAAAAGGTTAAAATCCACCTTCCCCATCTCGTGTGCTACGGAGGCCACGGTCACCACACGGCTCGGCCCGCTCGCCTTCAGCCGGTCCAGGAGCAACACTGTCAACAGGAAGTGACCTAGGTGATTGACGCCAAAGATCATCCCGAAGCCATCCTCCGTCTTTCCACCGCTCATCAGACCTGAAGACAGAAACATCACAATAAACTTACACTTAGGGCTTAGAAATGATCAATTATTTTATAATCACTTCCATAAATTTTGAGAGTGCATGAACACTAGTTAGAGAGCAATCAAAGACGTTTAAATGAGTAGCTAAATGGTTGAAACACCCAGCATCTGCTACTCCAAGTAGAACGCAAACTTGACCAAATCGTCCTAAATGTTGAAAGTTGAGCTGTGTGAAAACTGTCAAGGTTCTGGGATGGTTGCTTTTTTTGTTTCACATTTCCTGTTTTACTTTGTAGTTCATCTGCCCTTAGTGTCATAGTCTTGCTTTTACTTCCTTTGTATGTGCTCACTGATGTATCACCTGTGCCTTGTTGTCTTCACCTGTTTATTTAAGTTGCTGTCACTCATTGCTGCTTCATTGTTCATCACTGTTAATTTTTATTCATGGCTGTTTCAGCGTCTCATCTGATGTCTCCCGTCTCTGGATTATTTCCTTGGTTTCCCATGTGTTGTTTGGACTTACTTTATCGGTTTGTGGATTTCTGGATTTCTCACCTGGATTTTGTTCTCTGTTTTTGGACTACCAACTTCTGTCACTTGTAAGTTCCCTAATCTGCTCTGCACCTGTGTCTGTTTTTGGGCCCCAAAACATTGTAAAAATATAAATTTTTACAAAATCAATGACTTTCAGCTGTATATCAAATCAATTCAGATCAACATATTTTAAACAATGACAGGTGGTATCAATGAAAGTGTAAATTAGTTCATTTCACTGGCCCGTGGGGGATAGAAAAGGTTGGAAACCACTGATCTACTGTACATTAACTCACACTGTAAGAAAACATACACCGTATCTACTCGATAAAAAGGAGTCAACAGATTACAAGCAATATAATTAAATTTCACAATGTTTGGTATTAATTAATAATTAATAGTTATCTATTTAATACGAGTAGATTCAAATAGAAAACAGTACACAATTAATTATAACCTAAGCAAAAATATTGAGTTGATTTGAAAAAGATAAACTCCCTAATGTGTAAATAGTCCTAATAAATAAATAAATAAATAAATATATATATATATCAATGATATATAATTGAGTATTAACCATCTACACATAAGGAAGATAGCATGAGCAGCCGACCCAGGATACTGGCTAGGTAGGGGACCCTACATGGCCGCAAATGCCTTGTCATTTGCTTGTAGACTTGACCATACAAGGGAATTGCTTTCAATACATCGGTCATTGATCAGTGCAGCCGAAGTTATCAAATAAAACAGGCACTTCACTCCTGGCTGACCGGCGTTGTTGATGAGCAGATCCAGCCTGGACTCAGACTGGAGGAAGCTGTCAGCAAAGGAGCGAACAGACTTCAGACTGGCCAGGTCGAGCTGCATGAAGATCACCTGGCTGTTCCCCGTCTCCTGATCACAAGGAAAACAAGGAGAGAGTTAGAAAACTTTGAACACTTAGTTTCCTGCAATCCCCACTCTATTTTATTCTACTCAATTTGATCATGTCAGGAGATATTTAGAAAGCTGATATAGATGCATGGGCAGATTAAATTGGCACGAATAACTGCGCATCATCAGCATAACAATGAAAATATAATCAGCTTTGGGTAACTGTGTATATGTAATGTATATGTATACAGAAGAGAAGAGGACCTAGGATGCACCCCTGAGGTCCACCAGATGTAACTGTGGAAAAGTCATGTTGTAACACAACAATTTATGGGGAAAATGTGTTTTTTACTGATTGATGATCATAACTGTCTAAACAAATGGGGTATATTCCTTGTAATTTAAGCTGTTTTTTGTCTTTACCTGGATGATTTCCTGGATTGCGGCCTCAGCTCGCTTTCTGTCTCTGCAGGCCATGATCACCCTCGCGCCCCTCCTGGCCAGGTTCATCGCTGTGGTCTTACCGATGCCGGTGTTTGCTCCTGGAGAGGAATGATAGGATCATGGACAGTTTTTTTTTTATTAGCCATGCTAGCAACGTTGCTCTACAGATGACAAAGGTAAGGTAACTTTCCAAAGTTACAAAAATGTAGTAAGTTTGGACAAACGGCACCTTCATTAGTTTTCTTTTATGTCTATGTTTAATTATTTTACTACTATATTTAGTTTCCCTTGCTTTTATATATACAGGTGCTGGTCATATAATTAGAATATCATCAAAAAGTTGATTTATTTCAGTAATTCCATTCAAAAAGTGAAACTTGTATAATGTATACATTCATTCCACACAGACTGATATATTTCAAGTGTTCATCCCTTTTAATTTTGATGATTATAACTGACAACTAATGAAAACCCCAAAATCAGTCTCTCAGAAAATTTGAATATTATGAAAAGGTTCAATATTGAAGACACCTGGTGTCACACTCTAATCAGCTAATTAACTGAAAACACCTGCAAAGGCCTTTAATGGTCTCTCAGTCTAGTTCTGTAGGCTACACAATCAGGGGGAAAACTGCTGACTTGACAGCTGTCCAAAAGACGACCATTGACACCTTGCACAAGGAGGGCAAGACACAAAAGGTCATTGCTAAAGAGGCTGGCTGTTCACAGAGCTCTGTGTCCAAGCACATTAATAGAGAGGCGAAGGGAAGGATAAGATGTGGTAGAAAAAAGTGTACAAGCAATAGGGATAACGGCACCCTGGAGAGGATTGTGAAACAAAACCCATTCAAAAATGTGGGGAGATTCACAAAGAGTGGACTGCAGCTGGAGTCAGCGCTTCAAGAACCACGCACAGACGTATGCAAGACATGGGTTTCAGCTGTCGCATTCCTTTTGTCAAGCCACTGAACAAGACACAGCGTCCGAAGCGTCTCGCCTGGGCTAAAGACAAAAAGGACTGGACTGCTGCTGAGTGGTCCAAAGTTATGTTCTCTGATGAAAGTCCCAGAGTCTGGAGGAAGAGAGGAGAGGCACAGAATCCACGTTGCTTGAAGTCCAGTGTAAAGTTTCCACAGTCAGTGATGGTTTGGGGTGCCATGTCATCTGCTGGTGTTGGTCCACTGTGTTTTCTGAGGTCCAAGGTCGATGCAGCCGTCTACCAGGAAGTTTTAGAGCACTTCATGCTTCCTGCTGCTGACCAACTTTATGGAGATTTAGATTTCATTTTCCAACAGGACTTGGCACCTGCTCACAGTGCCAAAGCTACCAGTACCTGGTTTAAGGACCCCTGTTCTTAATTGGCCAGCAAACTGGCCTGACCTTAACCCTATAAAAAATCTATGGGGTATTGTGAAGAGGAAGATGCGATACGCCAGACCCAACAATGCAGAAGAGCTGAAGGTCACTATCAAAGCAACCTGGGCTCTCATAACACCTGAGCAGTGCCACAGACTGATCGACTCCATGCCACGCCGCATTGCTGCAGTAATTCAGGCAAAAGGAGCCCCAACTAATTATTGAGTGCTGTATCATGCTCATACTTTTCATGTTCATACTTTTGTGATTTTCATTAGTTGTCAGTTTTAATCACCACAATTAAATGAAATAAACATTTGAAATATATCAGTCTGTGTGTAATGAATGATAATATCCAAGTTTCACTTTTTGAATGGAATTACTGAAATAAATTAACTTTTTGATGATATTCTAATTATATGACCAGCACCTGTACTACGTCACCTGACTTCCTTCTTTGCTACACCATACAGCCACTAGAGGTCGTAATATGGGTCACAATAAGCTGCTGCTCAACCATCTTATATGGTTGCTTGTCTGGTGAGGACAGGCTGGTTGAGGGAACATCAGTCTTTAGAAAATGATGTAGCATGATGAGGTTTCCTGTCCTTATTTGAAGATAAATTAATCTACTACCAAAAAGGAAAGTGACATCAGCGTGAATTCATTATCTTGGGAACAGAACATTTTCCATCCACTTTTTTTCAGCGCTTTCAACCACATCTTACAGTCTTCATCATCAAAGGGAACTGGCACACATGTAATCTCTGACCAAGACATGTTTGAAAGATTGTTTTTCAAATCCTCATGGCAGCTGCAGTTGTTCGAACATTTCCATCTTAAATTATGTTATCTAAATTCCCTTAGTGTCAAACTCCTTTTGGACTCAAATCTGAATGAACAGGCTTGTTCAGCAGACAGAGTGTGTTTAGACAAAAGAGTAGAAGTTTCTATCCGCGTTCGTCATCCTTTGTTCCACCATGAAAACAAACTGGTCTCCACTGGAATCTGTTATAACCAACACATTTAAGCTGAAGTCAGCTGCTTTTCTCTGTAAAACTACAAACGTTTTACAGCCATCTGTCAATCTTGCAGATGGATATTTTATTGGTACATGCAGAGATACATTTTGGACCCAGTATGACCCCTAAGCTGACATAAATTAGACCACAAGATTTTGTACCAGGGCCTGCATCTGATTCCATTTTTTGCTTTAAAAAGGCACACATAAGGGATGACTTTATTCATGGTTAATAAATAATTTACCTTCAGATCACATGCCTGAGCAGGACCAAAATCCACTTATTAACAACTTGCTAAGCATTAATTCAGGGATTACTACATTTACAGCATTCCTACCAAACTGAAAGGCTAAACACCAGGCAAAGGCATCTTTTAAAACCATAAACCCAACATTTGTCAGAAAAATTCTTTATTAACCACAATAAAGCCATTAGCTGCAACTTAAAAAGGACGCCTTATTACAACATGGTACCATATGGGGTTATAAATAAGGGTTTTTGTCTCAAACATGTTTTCTCAGTCAGACTCAGTATTCAGAAGCTGTTTTCAATGTGCATGTTGCAATAGTGAACACGCCCTTTAAAAGAGTTATTACCCCATAAAGGCAGCTTGGCCTGCAGCCTGTGAACTCACCAGTGACAATGGCAGTTTTCCCATGTAACTTTGCAGTAGATTTACATCGGGGCAACTTGAAAAAAGTCATATGAAGAAGAAAATAACCTCCGACTAACACAACTCCGACCAGCAGCAGCTCCAGCATCATCCTGACTAATAAAAAGTGCAGCTGTTTACATGTGAGCAGCTGCAGTGTGTGTGTGTGTGTGTGTGTGTGTGTGTGTGTGGACTCATTTTCCTGCCTTTATGTAACAGCTTATCTGCTGTAGCAGCAGCTCTACACCCTTTCTCCCCTGACAGCCAATCGCTCTCTCCTCTGACTGTTAATCCAGTTCATAATAAACAACAGTTTCTCACTTCCTTCAGCTTCTTGCACCAAAGCTGTGCTGGAGAGATCAGATTACAGCGGACAGGCTGGTATTTTATTAATAGGAAAAACAGGAAGGTGATTTTAACTTTATATGAAAAGGCTAGTTTTGTCACTTTAAGGTGAAAAGCACCAAGTAAAACTAGATGCAGAGTGATTTCTTGCAGCCGCTACATGTTGACACGATCTATAATTAAATTAAGCAGATTAATCTTGAATTGCATCACACCTACAGTTACAGAAAGACATGTCAAAAGGTTAAATGTTTAAAGGAAAGCTGCAGCGCCGCCTTGTGGCCTTAGACAGCATTACGGTGGAATTACAGTACATGTAAAGTATTTTTAAGGTCAAGCAGGCCTTTAAATTGTATATATGCTCTTCTTTGCTCTCTTTCCTGTTTTAATGTTTGTCTAAATGTTGTAAATGTGCTTTTGCTTTTATTGTCATGTGTACACAGGATGTTCTATATAAGTATTATTGTAGACCAGAACCACTGAAAATCCTCTTCTTGTTGTTGCAAACCTTCCTGCAGACATGTAAAACTCAACAGAGGCATGTTTTAGACTAAAGAAACTGAAACCAAAGACCAAACCTCTAATCAACGATACTGAAAAGTTAAAATCAGGTCTGAAATTCCTGGAATAAGAAAATCCATTCTAGTAATAAAGTGGAATTTCTGTAGTTTGTTCAGATAAAGAAGCAAAAGTTGCCAAACATTCCCACGTTCCACCCTCATAATGACATTTTACTGCTTTTCCTCAGCTGATGGGGTTTGCTCAGAAGGAGTAAACATTTGATTGGATGGTGAGATGCAGTTGAAGGTTTAACAAACAACTTTTTTTGCAACCTTGTTTATAATGAAAATAATACTTAAAGGCTTTCTGGTGATGTAACCTTATCCTGACAATTAAAAAAAGGAAATCTAAACTGGAAATAAAGCAATGAGATCTTGGTTGAAAGTTATAGAAACAAGTTAATTGGGTTTTTGTTGGAAGGTTTCTTTGTTTTATTCAAAACATACTGAGAGGTGCAACAGATTGTGACCACGTGTTAGAAACAGTTTTCTGTAGAAATTGAAGTATCAGAGATTCTGTAGAAATTGAAGTATCAGAGATTCTGTAGAAATCGAAGCAGCGGGGCTGGATGACAACTGGCACACTTTTATGTGAACCGGTGGAAACTTCCCAGGCAGATTCATCTTTGGTCAGAGTTTAATGTCCTCCACCAGAGTCTCTGCTTTCATTAATTTTTCCAGAAGTTCGGGTTCTGTGCCATCCGCCTCTGGAAGTTTTCATACCACTTGAGGACGCAGCTGGATGGGATGTAGGTCTCCGTGGGGTTCGGCGTCATCTGCGCCTGCGACATGGCGAAGGACGAGGCGAAGTTGTACAGACTGTCCAGCATCTTCTGAGTGAACTGCAGGAAGGAGTCCACGGTGGACACGGCGGCGCTGGACACCGGGATCTGCTGGACCAGCTGCTCCAGAGCCTCCACCGACACCCCGACCTGCGCCACGGAGGGGGACGTGTTGGAGGCCATCATGCCGAACGGGTGCGCCCCTCCCTCGCCGGCCTTCAGCCCGGAGATCTTAAAGATGGCACTTGGCTTGTCGTTGGTGATGAATCCGAGCAGCTGCCACACCGGGACCCCGCTCGCCGGGTCAGGGAAGGAGAAGTACACGGCGCCGCCCATGCCGTCGGGGAAAGGCACCGTGCCCAGCATGAACACCACCACATGGTTCACGTTCTCAAAGTCCGGCAGGTTGAACACGAACTTGTCCGAGGCGACCTGCACCGCGTCCGTCTGCACCAACCTACCGGCGACCAAACAACCGAACATCCCTGCCGACTGCTAGCCGTTAGCCTCGGTGTTAGCCAGCACGCTGTAATGTAAACACGATTAGCTTCAGCTTAGCCTGCAGGCTAGTTTTAGTGTAGGAGCCCGAATCACTGATGAACTCAACGGAACTTGTTTATCCGGTAGAAGGCTGAGGAATGAATCCCACCGCAGCAGCTGAGATAGTTCATGAAATCAGCTGTTAGGGGCTGGTAGAAACTTCTAGTACTGTCTCGCATGGTAATACTGCCCGCTCTGGATCTGCTGCTCGGCTATCGACACATCGTCCTGGGTAGTAGTAACTCTGGGATGTTGTGTCCCATATGTTTCTCTCTCTGCTGTGGACATTTTCGGCTTTTTATATAACTACAGCAATAAACATATATAAACTACAGCAAAGGAGTTGTACCAGGGAGACATGCCGGAGGGCAAAAGAGTTGTGGTGGAGTTTTGTTGTTGGCAGTGTACACGCTCGATGATTCGTTAATTGACAGCCAAGAAGAAAGCGGGAGTAAATGTGTTAACCGGAAGTGAGAGTTCTTTGCACTTTAAAACAAAATTTTTTTTGATAAAAAATGTTCTTTCTTTAAATATTAACATAACTTTTAAATTTTAGGTTTACAGTAAATTAAGTCCCTCAAAACACATTTACAGCAGGAATGCAACGTTTTTCACAACATTTTATTACTTATATGCCAATTTGTTTCTTACAATTCTTGCACACGGACAAGGTTGAGTTTTGAAAATTCCAAACAAACCCCGTGTGTTTTACTTTGAAAACGGTGACCGGATGTGTTCTTTTGTGATTTCCGCCGTCTTGACGCCGCCTCTGTCAGCGGGTCGCTTCAGTCTCTGGCGGCTCAGCTGTTTGTTCGGTGACATTTAGAGCATCTAAATAAACTGAAATAAACTTTCTGCTCGTGTGTTTTCTGGGCTGACACTTTTCTGTACGGATTAACGACTTTTCATCGACACTAACAGGTAAGCATCCCCGTTTTTATCTCCGTTTGTCCCTCAACTTTTGCTTGTTAGCTTTCCCGGTTAGCCACCCGATGCTAGCAGCTAGCGATGCTGTTTGGTTTTTAAAGCATGAATGAAGAAGCTTTTCCAAGTTTATTTTATAGTTAATTGCTTTTTGTGGGCTGACAGAGACAGGTTGTTTATTTATACCAGCTGCTGCCACATTTTAGTACATGCTGTCCTCATTAGTGATGCATTTGTATAGTCTTTGTGTCTCAACAGGAGAATGTTTAACTTGCATGTTACTCTGGTTAATAAAAAATGTATGTGGCATGAAGCAGTCAGATTCAGGCTGGAGCCTCTGAGGGTTTTGGGGGTAGATGCTGCAGCTCTGCAGTAAGTTACACAGAAAATGCATGAGATAGAAACAAACAGGACTTTAATGTGACAGAAAGAGAAAATACAGGAGTTTAATGTGACAGAAATAGAAAATACAGGAGTTTAATGTGACAGAAATAGAAAATACAGGAGTTTAATGTGACAGAAATAGAAAGTACAGGAGTTTAATGTAACAGAAAGTGAAAATACAGGAGTTTAATAAGATAAGAAAGTGAAAATACAGGAGTTTAATGTGACAGAAGTCTTGACATTTGGTTTGATGCTGTACCTACATGTTAGTTTTTTAACCTGATAATAAATCAATACATAGTAAAATGTGCCCAAAAGCCAATCTGATATTGTAGTATGATTACAGTGAGAGTTTTTTGTTGCAATGTCAACTTGAATTAAATACTGAAATCCATATTTTTTTTTATGGAGCGTACCATCAAATGGAAATATGTCTTGAGCAGCATTTTCAGAGTTAAAGATTAGGTTTGACCAGTGGGTGGTTTAACTTCTGACCTTACTGCATGGATGTACAGATGTACTTCAAGGTGTTTGAGGACACTGTGACATCACTGATGGGCGTGGTCACAGGTGCTACAAGGTGTGCTGGTTTGAGCCATGTGCGTGTTGTTTCTACTCCCATTAAACGGCACCCTCTGCTTATGCCGACTTGAATTGACAGCATCAAGTAACCGAAATATAATCATATGAAACCAACAATAAACACCAGTAAACACTTATTTCACCCATGAGCTGATCGTTAGTGCTGTCAGCTTTGTTTTTGTTTTTTTATCAACAGTAGTTAAGATCTGCAACTAACGTTTATTAACACTTTGACCTTGAAGAAAACAAAAACCGCTTCCTGCTTGTGGAAAAATGCAGTTTCAATATATTTAGAGTTATCGTGTAGATGACGACTAGCTTTCATTGTCTCCTAAGTAGGGTTGGGTATCGTTTCAATTTCATCGATTACGATTCTACTTATAGAATCCGGTTCTTATCAAATTGCAGTTGTGATTTCTTCACCACAGATCTTGTCAGCGCTCGGTCACCTTCTTCCTCTTCCTCCTCGCTCATCTTCCCCTTCATGCCTTCAGTGAAAGTCTCTGTACTAGAAGGGCGTCTCTGGGGACTTGTCAGTATATATTGAATCATTTATAGACATCATTAGTTTCCCTTCAGTATAAAAGGTGAGTGTCAGCTCACCTGTGTTTTGTACCTGAGCGTGAGACGTTGCTACTGTTAGCGTTAGCTGGATCTGAGGCGTCATTGTAGCTGGGAGAGCGCGACACATTGAACATGGGGCATTCCTTCAGATTAACGCCGTGTTGAAGTAAACGCTTCGTCATGTTGGAGCTGCTTCCTCCCTGATAATGAAAAGACTGTGGGGAAGACTTCACTTCGGGAACCTGTGATGAACTTTTTCTTCTCTAGTAGTAAGCAGGCTAATGTCTATTATTTTATAATGAACAGGTTCTTATCACACATTTTAATTTAGCCAAAACACACTCGAGTGGGATGTTTAGAGTGGTGAGGATGTTTTCTCCTTCATTAAATCTTAATGCTCTGTGCAGTAGAGTCTGTTTTAAGCAGTTTTTCTGTGAGACAGGAGGTTATTTTTAGTCTCGCTGCGTCTTTGTGAACATTGTGTGTTTGA